GAAACTCCAGTGCTTTTTGTCTGTTTACTTTTTTTTTTTTTCTGAGACAGGTCTCACTCTGTCACCCAGGCTGGAGTGCAGTGGTGTGATCTTGGCTCACTACAGCCTCTGCCTCTGAGCTCAAGTGATCCTCCCACCTCAGCCTCCTGAGTAGCTGGGACTCTAGGAGCACTCCACCATGCCCAGGTAATTTTTGTATTTTTTCATAGAGACAGGGTTTCACCATGTTGCCCAAGCTGGTCTTGAACTCCTGGGCTCAAGTGATCTTCCTGCCTCGGGCTCTCAAAGTGTTGGGTTTACAGGCGTAAGCCATGCACCCAGCAATCCATTTACTCTTATAGCCCCTGCACAGTACCTGAACACAGAAATATTGGTGAATGACTGAGTGAAAGGTATAGGCCTGCAATGAGGTGTCGACATAACTCCCCGTCCCCTGTCTGCTTGTTTTCCCCCGACCTCCTTCAGCCTCAAGAAATTTCCTTCAGCTCCTAAACTCATCAGGGTTATGAGAGAATCTGCATCGTTTTCTCTGTTTCCCTGCTAGCATGGAATTCAGAATTCAGATGTTAAGACGTAAAAGGAAGGAATAAAATTGAACATGGAAAGAAATACTGAATACAGAATACTCCCCCGAGTGGCTACACATCCTCACTGTAATCCTTAATCTCAGTGTGCAAGTGTTGAGGCTTGAGTTATTTACACGGCTCTAATCCTCTTACCTTCTAATCAAGATCATTCCAATAGCTCTGCAGTTAGACTTCCAACTGCATTATGCATTCACAAATTATTTCTTTGTCAATGCTGTATTGGTACAATTCTAATCTCCTAGGGATTAAACACAAGTATTCATTCTTCTTTATCCTAATATAGTTTATCTCCATCGAAGTTGAGTTTTTCAGTTTTCCATGCTAATTCCTTTGTGTAATTAATAAAGTCAATTTAAAATGAATAGCAATTAAGAGAAATCATCTATATGTCTGTATGTTGTCTACTACAGCCTTTTCTGATTCAATGAGTTCTTGACTGCTTAGAAGAGGCATGTATAATTTTTGGATTTTTTGCATATATTTTTTCTCCTCTTCTTTCCTCTTATTCACTTTGGAGCAATTTCATCCTTCACTAACAATGCCACAAATGCCAGGTTGGAAGGGTAGATGAAAATCAATAAAAATTGCAATAATACTTTCTCTTAGGGACAAATGTATCGCATAGTACATGCTGTGCTGTCAGAGTTGACTAAAGGACAAAAGTCTTTTCAGCCAGTCACCACGGGCCACACCTATAATCCCAGCACTTTCAGAGGACAAGGTGAGCCCAGGAGTTTGAGACCAGCCTGGGCAACGTGATGAAACTTCATCTCTACAAAAATTAACTGGGCCTGGTGGTGCATACCTGTAGTCTCAGCTACTTGAGAGGCTGAGGTGGGAGGACCGCTTGAGCCTGGGGGGTCAAAACTGCAGTGAGCCATGATGATGCAACTGCACTCCAGCCTGGGCACCAGAGCAAGATCTTATCTCAAAAAGAAAAACGTCTTTTGATATAAAATATGATTTCAAGTAGATTTAAGCTAGTCATACACTTATTCATTAAAAAGTATGGAACAATTACAAATAAATATTGTGTGGGAAAGTGACAATGTATTTAAAGTCATACAAAGACTAATCCTGAGTGATCAAGTCTCTGTAGCACCCCACCCCCATGTTTTAACTATTTGAGACAATTGGCCACATATGCATTTCATAATTAAAGAAACATGGATTATGTCTTTATTTTTTATTTTTATTTTTATTTTTTTTAAGATGGAGTCTCCCAGGCTGGAGTGCAGTGGCACAATCTCAGCTCACTGCAACCCCTGTCTCCCAAGTTCAACTGATTCTTCTGCCTCAGCCTCCTGAGTAGCTGGGATTACAGGCATGTGCTACCATGTCCAGCTAATTTTTGTATTTTTAGTAGAGACAGGGTTTCACCATGTTGGCCAGGCTGGTCTTGAACTCCTGATCTCAGGTGATCCACCCGCCTTGGCCTCCCAAAGTGCTGGGATTACAGACATGAGCCACTGTGCCTGGCTGGCTATGTCTTTCTTGATTCTAATCAGTACATACATAATTTTGCACAGATATATTGATTAGGGAGGCATTTATGAAGGGCAGGTAGTGGAGAGGCTGGGGTAAGGTTAGGTAATAGGAGTTCTAGGAGATTCCATACTTCAGCCTATAATGGACATTGTAGCCTACCCAGCACTTATTTAAACCTTCCAGATTGACTCCAATATTTGTTCTTCTATCCACTCCTTCCCCTCTCAGCCAATGTACTTAGGGAGAAGCTGATCCCATGCTGAGTTCCAGGAATGGGCCTTATTTTCCAGGAATGAATCCATACGCTTTCCAGTAAAGGGCTCTGGAATCCAGGTCTAAGTGCCATGTGATTGGTTTAGGAATGGACCAATGACACACTGTGAGGAAGTTTGCTGAGGGCTTCTGGGAATTTGCTCATAATAGAAAGCTACCAGAATTTACAGGCCCTTTTCATCTTGACTTTCTTGTACACGGACATGAGGCCAGGGGCTGTGGCAGGCATTTTGTAGGCAGCCTAAAGGTGAAGCCTGCACAAGAGAGACCGGGACAAAGACCACCACAGAGAAGCAGAGCTCAGTAATCGCTGAGCCCTGCCTCACCTCTGCCATTCCTAGACCTTCTCAGTCTCTTAGCCAATGAGCAACCTTGATTTTAAAGCAATTTTTATTTGAGTTTTCACTTCTGGAAACCAAAACAAACATTTTAACCTGTGGAATCCCAATTTATACTTCCTTAACATTTTTGTTTATTTGTTAATCTTTAAGTTTCAGAATTATTTTCTGATTATAAAAATAATACATACTTATTGTAGAGAACCAAGAAAACATTGAAAGATACAAAGAAGATTAAGACCATCCAAAATCTCATTATCCCTAGATAACTGCTATTGAGTTTTGAGTTAGTTTCCTCTTTATGTATCCAAACTGACACAGAAATTTTACACATATATTTATCCTGCTTTAATGAAATTCACAGCTTAGTGGGAAATAGAAACAAACAAACAAAAATCAAACTAATAGATGAATATCTGTGACTATGGAAGGTCATAGTGGCTATTAACCTGTGTTCACTGTTTTTGGGTCAATGTTGCCAATAACGTTATACCCCATCTCCACAACCCAGAACAAATCAAAGATCTTATGTTAATAACTATTAAAGTATAATATGCTCTTAAGCATAACAATGTCTTACAATGCCACAAAATCAACCAGTTACCAATAGTTCATTTGGTTTCCTTTCAGTAGGATTTCTTATAGAAAATTGTCCCCTGTCAGTGACTGGTTTCGCTCAACTGTCATTAGGTCTTGTCACAGTAGTTTAATTACAGCAAAAATGAGTGTCTTATATTGATCATTTTGACAGCACATACAAAAGGTTTAGTATTCATCAGTGTGCTGGGTAAGAACCCTTGGAGCAGGGCCCTCAAGAGGATGTAAGTTATATTGCTATGATAGTACCAAGCTTAAAAAAACCGACATCAACTCTCAGTTCTGGAATCTAGAAGTCTGAAATCAAGGTGTTGGCAGGATGACATGCCCTCCAGAGGCTCAAGAGAAGAATTTGTCTCTTCCAGCTTTGGGTGGCTGCCAGCATTCTCTGACTTGTGAATGCCATCACACCAATCTCTGCTTCTGTGGTTACATTACCTCCTCCTCTTCTCTGCATCTTCTCCTCTTCTACCTCTCTTTTATAAGGACACTGTCACTGGATTGATGGCCCACTTGGATAATCCAGGATGATCTTCTCAAGAACTTTGATTACATCTGCAAATGCCGTTTTTCCAAATAAGGTCATACTGACAAGTTCTAGGGATTAGGATATGGACATACCTTGTGGGAGACCATATTCAATTCACTGCAGTTAGAGAGGGAGTGAAAAATCACCTACTCTGATGGTAGACTTCTCTGTCTTCTTATACTTCTGTTCATTTTTGCTTAATATATTTTGTGGCTATATGGTGGCTATGATATAAATCCTTAGATATGTAAAGACTTGCTTTATGACACAGTATGTTAGAGACACTTTTTTGACTCTATCTTCCCTGTATATTGGACTTTTTTTTTTTTTAATGTAAAGACCCTTTATCTCATTGCACGCACCCACCCATCTACCTAGAAAGTGTCTGTTGATGATAAATCATCAGTTGTCTGAAACAGAATTTGCCTTCCTTCTGCCTTTCTTTTGCCACACATGTAATTCTAAGGTTTTATGTTTTCCCCTTCAGCATACCACTTAATTCTCTTTTCCCTTTTTTTTTTTTTTTGGAGACAGTCTCACTCTGTCACCCAGGCTGGAGTGCAGTGGCGCGATCTCGGCTCACTGCAGCCTCGACCTCCAGGGCTCAAGTGATCTACCTCAGCCTCTGGAGTAGCTGGGACCACAGGCACACGCCACCATGCCCTGCTAATTTTTTTTTAGATACTGGGTCTTGTTATGTTGGTCCGGCTGGTCTGGAATTCCTGGGCCCAAGCGGGCCTCCCGTCTCGGTCTCCTAAAGTGGTAGAATCACAGGCCTGACCCACTGCGCCCAGCCCGTTTTTTTTTTTTTTTTTTTTTGAGTGGAGTCTCGCTCTGTCGCCCAGGCTGGAGTGCAGTGGCACGATCTCTGCTCACTGCAACCTCCACCTCCCGAGTTCCAGCAATTCTCCTGCCTTAGCCTCCCGAGTAGCTGGGACTACAGGCACATGCCACCAGGCTAATTTTTGTATTTTTAGTAGAAACGGGGTTTTACCGTGTTAGCCAGGATAGTCTCGATCTCCTGACCTCGTGATCCACCCACCTCAGCATTCCAAAGTACTGGGATTACAGGCGTGAGCCACCGCGCCCGGCGGGAGCCGGCATTTTTAAAAGTTGGATTGTTGGTCTCAGTGCATACAAGCGTAAAGGAATTTTAAAAACACGCATGAGTAACTCCAACGCATTTCTTTTTTGCGCCATCCTGCTATGTGTGATTCGGTTTTTAGTCTGGGTTTTGTGTTTGTGTCGCGACAGCCGGGGACCGACCAAGGAGCAGTCGGACCACAGGCCGCCCAGGGCGGTCTCATCCGCTTATAACCTGCGACCCCTGGGTCTCCTGTGGCCCCGTATCTCCGTCCCAAGCAAAAACCGGGGCTCTCAGACACTCAGAGGTGCGAAGGCCCGGTAGATTTGGAGGACGCGAGAAAAACACCTCCGGGAAGTCTGGCCAGTCCACAGCTACTGCCAAGATCGCTCCGCGCGTCCTCAGGAGCCGGCCGGCTCCTCGTAGTCATGGTAACCAGATTGCTACCGCGCGTGCGCAAGACAAACACCTTTGTCACGTGAGGCCTGGCCGGGGGCGGGGCCGGCGAACACCCGTCAGGACCCGTCGCACCTCCCTTGTCAGTTCCCTGCCAGCCGAGGCGGGGCGAACCTCTGCCCTGTTGCGTGGGAGTGACTCACAGCTCCCGCCCCTTTTGGCTCTGCTTTCTTGCGGCCAGTCCCTCGCACCACGTGCCCTCCTGGCCGCGCCCCCAGCTGCCCTTTCCAACTGCCTGTTGGAAGCCGCTGTAAAATGTCGTGAGGAGCGCCGCTGCTTTACGGCTGCCTCTCCCAGCATAGAGCCCCGGAGCGCCCACCGCCGTCAGCCGCGTCTCCAAGCTAGTCGGCCCCGTGGAGAGCAAGAGACCCTGCGCACCGCAGCCCTCTCCGCTGCGCCCATTCCTGCCCCCGGCGATGTGAGCTCGGGGAGGCAGCGGTGCCCGCTGGCCCGGGGTTGAGACGGGCGGCAGGTGCCTGTGAGGCGGGCGGGTGCCGGGGGCCAGCAGGATGGAGGAAAGCATGGAAGAGGAGGAGGGGGGCAGCTACGAGGCGATGATGGACGACCAGAACCACAACAACTGGGAGGCTGCGGTGGACGGCTTCCGGCAGCCCCTGCCACCCCCACCGCCCCCCTCTTCGATCCCGGCCCCTGCCCGAGAGCCTCCAGGGGGGCAGCTGCTGGCGGTGCCCGCGGTCTCCGTGGACAGGAAAGGCCCCAAGGAGGGGCTCCCGATGGGACCGCCGCCACCGTCTGAGGCTAATGGGGTGATCATGATGTTGAAGAGCTGCGACGCGGCCGCCGCTGTGGCCAAGGCGGCCCCCGCCCCCACCGCCAGCTCCACCATCAACATCAACACCTCCACCTCGAAGTTCTGTGAGTCCAGCCTTTCCCAGCAGCCTTGGCTTTTCTCCACCTCACTCGGACGCCGTATCCACCCCCTCTTGGAGAAAGCCCCGCTTCCTTTGTTTCAGGCCTCGGTCTTTCCTCTTCTCCCGTCCCCCTTCGCCTCCGTGCCTCCCTCCCCCTCACCGTCCCCTCCCCCTCCCCTCCCCCTCATTTGGTGTCTGCGGCCAGCGCCTGAGCGGCCCTGGCTTCTTGTATTACCTGGTCTAGAGAGGCAGCCTGGTACACACGGAGCCCCAAGTTCTACCAACGCCAGCCCTATCACAACTGGCAGTCTCTCAACATTGGGAACCGCTTTTCGCACCCGTCTTCTCTTGAAGTTTCACCCTCAAAGTGAGGGGAAAATAAGGCTGCCTGAGTCTCCTTAGGGAAAGGCCTTCAGTCTTTTGCAGCCAGAGAGAAAAAAAGAAACCTGGCAACTTGTGTTCTTGTGCTTTTGGCTAGGCCGTGTTAAACAAGTCAGGACTTTGAAAGTTGAGCTATATCTACGCCTCGTTCCTCCTCTTCTGTGTTACACCTTTGCATCCTGCTAGGGTAATGTGTGAGTTACTTTCCTACGCGGTGGCAGCTCCGACATTGTTTTGAAGCTAATAATGCATAAAATCACTCTTCAGAGCTTACACTCTTAAGAATAAGCCTTTCAGGATGGGTTATGTCTTGTGTCCAAACCCAAGATTAGGTTGCATGTTGAACTTTATGTTAGTGATCTGTCTTAACGCTCAATTGCAAGCAGAAAGATTTAAGACCAAAATCTGTTTTGTAATCCGAAACTGCCTCTGACCAGGATATATGTATGCTTCCATAGCTAGGAAAAGAATGTGCTTTTACTTTGGGGTGTGTGTGTGTGTGTGTGTGTGTGTGTGTGGTGGTGGTGGTGGTGGTGATAGGATGTTGAAAATGAGATGTGACCATCACAGCCAGGTTTTTCTCTCCTATTATTAACTGCAAGTTTTGAATGGCATCTGGTAAGCAACTGGAGAGTTCATTTCTAGCCACTAATTTTATCAAGCTGTACTTGTCCAGTTAGCTGTGCAGAGAAAATATTTGCCTTGATGCAGATAGTCGGAATCTTACACACTGTGTGTGGGAACAGCGTGTAATTTTATTTGCCTCAAGATACTGCCTTAGTCAAAGACACTGATATGTAGGTTTGGTAAAATTTATATACGCTTTGTCTCCTTATTCATGATAATCATGTTTGTATTGTATAGTTTGTGTGTTGAAGGCTGTGTTGTGGAACCAGACCTTCTGTAGAGTGGCAGAATGACTTCACCTGAGTCATGAAGGAAGCTTGCTTTAGTAAAGTTCATTTGAAGAGTTCAAAAAAAAAAAAAAAAAAAACATAAAGTTAGGAACAGAAATCAGTATAATTGAGAACAAAAGGATTTGTCACACCAAAAGATTATTTTTGTGAAAAGTTTAGTAAGCTAGGCAGACCTCTGATAAAATCGACAAGAAAAAAAGATGCCAATAAATGAAAAATGGAAAATAACTACAAATATCAGATAAAAAAAGAACGTTATGAACTTAGGCTGGTAAATTTGAAAGCCTAAATGACAGAATTCTTAGAAAACTATTAAATGTGAAAATTGGTATCAGAAGAAATATCTTGAACTAATAAACTGAAATGGTAAAGATCTCCCTTTTTAGAAGCTCTGGATCCAGATACTCTGATGAGTTCCATCAGACTTTAACACTTAATTCTTTTTGCAAGTTGTCCTGGAAAATGGTGAGAAAAAACACCAAGTTCATTTTATGAGGCTTGTGAAATCTTGATTCTAAAACAGATAAGGACGTGTAAGAAGAGAAAATTATAGGTCTCTTTTACTTAGATAGAAATGAAAATACTGTAAAAAAATAGTAGCTCATCAAATCCAACAGTGTGTTAACAGTTGTGATCCATAGAGTTAATCCTAGAGATGTAAGCATGGTTTAACGTCTACTTTGTCGCTCTGGAAGTACAACTATTCCACTGAAATCAGGGAACCCCTTTTAATGGCAGTATTGCCCATCTTTAACCCAGAATTACAAGGGACAACCACCACAGCATTTTTTTCAGTAATTATATTTAATTATTTATATATTTCTCAGTTGGTGAAGGACCTTCTCAGAGCACAGTTTAGGGAGTAAGAGTGGGTTAGAACATGACAAATTCATATTCCTTTCTTCATATGTCTGGACTCATTTCTCCACCTACTAAGGCATTTCTATTCTGACCACCTCTTCCTGACTCTTCTTCCTTTTCCTCTCTTTCCTTTGTGTCCATTTTCTTCCTCCACACCTCTTCTCCTTCTCTTCCGTTCAATAGAGTGTACCCATTTTAGGTGTGCAGTCTGATGCATTTTAACCCATGTTACCGTCTGGCGTGGAGTTTGATTTTACCCTACTAATAGCTAAAAGGTAGCCTATTACAATTAAAGGTTGACTATCCCTCATCCGAAATGCTTGGGACCACAAGTGTTTGGGATTTCAGATTTTTTTGGATTTTGGAATATTTGCATTATACTAAATGATTGAGCATCCCAAATTCAAAATCCAAAATTTTCCAATGGACATTTCCTTTAAGCGTCATATTGGTGCTCAAAAAGTTTCAGATTTTGGATTTTTGGATTTAGAATTCTCTACTTGTATTACTGGGCGCTGCTGACATAAGCTGGGGGACTCCTGGGTGAGAGATGAAGGAATTTATTTTTCTTACCGTAGCACACAGCATGAGAATTGCTATATTTGCATAGGTTCTCCCTTGCCCCAAGTCCCAAGAGGGTGACATGCTATGGCCAAGATGGATGCTCTCTCAGTGGTTTTGTGTTGCAGCTGAAGAACATCAAACTTGGGGAATCCACTACTTTTATAGAAAGCAGTAGCAAATCTGCTCTTTGTCTAGGGGGAGATGTTATCTCGTCTTTCAAGGTTACCAGGTACAGAATGGCCCAGGTTCAAGAGTGTTTGGTCATGGCCTTGCATTCCTGGCATACTCAGTAAGACATGTGGGAGTGCGTGTGGCCCACGGAGGACTGTCCAGTGGTAACCACCACAACAACCAAGATAACAGTTCTGTCACCCTGAAATACTTCCCTATGTCTCTCTCTCTCTCTCTTTTTTTTTTCTTTTGAGACAGCATATCACTCTGTCGCCCAGGCTGGAGTGCTGTGGCACAATCTTGGCTCACTGCAATCTCCGGCTCCCAGGTTCAAGTGATTCTCCCACCTCAGCCTCCCGAGCAGCTGGGATTACAGGCACACAGCACCACGCCTAGCTAATTTTTGTGTTTTTAGTAGGGATGGGGTTTCACCATGTTGACCAGGCTAGTCTCGAACTCCTGGCCTCAAGTGATCCACATGACTCGGACTCCCAGAGTGCTGGGATTACAGTTGTAAACTACCATGCTCCGCCTTCGCTGTGTCTCTTTGCAGTCAGTTAACCCTGCCTGCTTCCCCCAGCCCCAAGCATTCCTGCTGATCTGCTTTGTGTCACTGTAGGATTTCATATAAATGAAATCATACACTGTGTATTGTTTTGTGCTTGACTTGTTCCTTCTTATTCTGTTCTTGAGATTCTTCCATGTTCTCACGTATGTCAGTAACTTATTCTTTTTTCTGGCTGAGGAGTAGTATTTTTTTTTTTTGGATATCCCAAAGTAGGTTTTTTTCTTTTTTTTTTTTTTTTGATTTACCAAAAAATCATTAATTTGTTGGTCATTAGTTTGATCATTTAGGTGGTCTCTGGTTTTGGCTGTTACGAACACAGCTGCTGTAAACAACCATGTACAAGGTTTGATGTGGGTAAAGGTTTCATACAAGTGGAATTCCTTGCTTATATGTTATTCACATAAACTTTATGAGAAACTGCCAAACAATTCTTTAGGGTGGTAGCACCATTTTACACTCCCATCAGCTGTATATGACAGCTCCAGTTGCTCCACTTACTTAATTGGCACTTGTGCTGGTTAGGTTCTGCATTCTTGGTATTGTCAGTCTTTTAAAGTTTAGCCTTTCTAGAGCATTGGTCCCCACCAGGGACCAGTTTCGTGGAAGAGACGATTTTTCTGTGGACTGGGGGATGGTTTGGGGATGAAACTGTTCCACCTCGGATCATCATATCTTAGAGTCTCATAAGGAGCGTGCAACCTAGATCCCTTGCGTTATAGGGTTGGCGCTCCTTTGAGAATTTAATTCCTGCACTGATCTGACAGGAGGCGGAGCCCAGGTGGTAATGCTCACCGGCCCACAGCTCACCTCCTGCTGTGTGGCCTGGTTCCTTACAGGCCACCGACCGGTTCCCACGACCTGGGGTTGGGGACCCCTGTTCTAGAGGATAAGTGTAGTTAGTATCTCTTTGTGTGTTTACTTTGCATTTCTCTTTTACATGTGCCGTTGTTTTTTTCATGTGATCATTTGCTTGCGTTATAATTTTGTTTGTGAGCATCGGCTCACATCTTTTGTTGTTTGTCTTAATGTATGTAAAGAATTCACTGTTAAGTTTTGGATACAAGTTTTGTCAGGCATGTATTATTACTGTTTTCTCTCTCTGGCTTGTCTTTTTTTTTTCCTTAATGGTGTCCTCTGAAGAGTAGCTGTTTTTTAATTTTGATGATGTCTAAACTGTCAATTTTTTCTTCTCTGGCTGTTGCTTTTTGTATCCTAAGAAATATTTGTCTGCCCCAAAGTCAAGATATTTTCTGTATTTTTTCAAGCAGTTTTATGGTTTTCGCTTTTATGTTTAGGTCTGTGATCTGAATTACGAGTTGATATCTTTATAGTGTGAGATAAGGATTGAGGCTCCTTTTTTACATATGAATATCTAATTGTGTTGGTACTATTTGTTGAAAAGACTATCCTTTTCTTACTGAGGCAACTTTGTCAGAAGTAACTGATCATGTATGTATGGGCGTCAGTTCTGTTTCATTAATCTTACTTAGTCCATCATATTTAGGATTGTTGAATTCATCTTCTTGATGAATTGACTGTTTA